AAGCGCTTATCTCACTCAAATAATCATGTTAGTCAAACCAATATCAAAACTTGAGTCATTTGGTGAAGTTCAGATTTTGTTTTTTATGAAGTGCTTATCATACTGAAATATGCATGTTATTCAGATCAGCATTAAAAATTAAATCATTTGGTGAAGATGAGATTTTTGACTTCTGAAGTGCTTATCTCACTCAAATAAGCCTGTTAGTCTAACCAATATCAAAACTTGTGTCGTTTGTTGAAGTTCGGGTTTTGGTCTTTTGATGTGCTTTTGTCACTCAAATAAGCATGTTAGCATAACCAGCATCAAAATTCGAGTCATTTGTTGAAGTTCAGATTTTGGTCTTCTGAAGTGATTACCTGATTGAAATAAGCATGTTAATCAAAACAGCATCAACACTGAAGTCATTTGGTGAAGTTGAGATTTTTGACTTCTGAATTGGTTATCTCCCTCAAATAAGCATGTCGGAAAAAAACAGCATTAAACATAGAGTCATTTGGTCAAGCTCAGATTTTATTCTTCTCAAGTGCTTAACTCACTGAAATAAACATTTTAGTCTAACCAGCATCAAAAATCAAGTCACTTGATGAAGTTGAGATTTTTGACTTCTGTAGTGCTCATCTCACTGAAATAAGCATCTTAGTAAAACCAGCTTGAAAAGTTACGTCCTTTGGTGAATTTGAGACTTTAGTTTTCTGATATGCTTATCTCCCTGAAATAAGCACGTTAGTCAAAATAATATTAAAAGTTGAGTCATTTGGTAGAGTTGAGATTTTTGACTTCTGAAATGCTTCTGTCAAGCAAATAAGAATGTCAGTCAAACCATTGTCAGAACTGCAGTCATTTGGTGAAGTTAAGGTTTTGGTGTTCTGAAGTGCTTAACTCGCTGAAATAAGCACGTTAGTCAAAACAATATTAAAAGTTGTGGCAATTTATGAAGTTGAGGTTTTGATCTTCTGGAGTGCTTAACTGGCTGAAATAAGCATGTCAGTCAAACTAACATCTAAAATTGAGTCATTTGGTGAAGTTCAGATTTGTGTCTTCTGAAGTGCTTATCTCGCTCGAATAAGAACATTAATACAAACAGCATCAAAAATTATGTCATTTCGTGAAGTTGAGATTTTTGCCCTCTGAAATGATTATCTCACTCAAATAAGCATGTTAGTCAAACCAACATCAAAACTTGAGTCATTTGGTGAAGTTCAGATTTTGGTCTTCTGAC